TCTCTCTCTCTCTCTCTCTCTCTCTCTCTCTCTCTCTCTCTCTCTCTCTCTCTCTCTCTCTCTCTCGTAGTCTGCTGATGCAGTGAAGTCAGATAAGCTAGAGGGTGAGAAGGAGATGGTGGACTGAGAAGAGGAAGAACAAGAACTCTCTCTCTCTCTCATGTGCCAGGTACTAACCTGTGAAGATGGCGCTGTGCTGCAGGTACCTCAAAGACGAAGCTGGAGCAATGGCGCTGCAGGTAAGTTCCTCTGGCCTCCGCCCAATCTCTCTCTCTCTAGTACTACTCTAGCTGCTATGGCGCCCAGCGCTGAAGACTACAGCTAACGCTACTAGCGCCCAGCGCTGAAGACTACTGCTAACGCTGCTACTACTCCTGCAGCGCTCCTCCAGRGTGCTGCTGCCGAATCCTGAAGACTACCTCCTGCCTCCTGAACTGCACGTGAAGTGCCTAGGAAGTACCTAGGAACTACCTGCCTGCCTGCAGGGCGGGCCAGTCCTATATAGTGCTGGCCCGTCCAGGAGGCTGCTCTTGCCAATGACAAAACGTGCCAGACCCTGGCGTTGAAGCTCAACCAGGGGTTGTCTTGAAAACAGGCCTGTGCTGAAACCCTGGTTTGTTGCCTGAGTTTCAGGGCAGGTTGAACCAACGAGGGCCCGAAAATGGCCCTCAGTTTCAGGCTGAAAACACTTAGGGCCGGAAAGGCCCTGATTTAGCCTGAAACGACACAGGGCCTGTAGGCCCTTGTTTTCAAGCTTTCAGGCTGAAACGACACAGCGCCTGTAGGCCCTTGTTTTCAGGCTTTCAGGCTGAAACGACACAGGGCCTGTAGGCCCTTGTTTTCAGGCTTTTGGCCTGAAAACGTCACGGGCCTGGAAATGGCCCGTGCAGCCTGTTCCAGGCGCAGCATGTAACAAGAAGGCAACATTGAGGAAAGGAGATGAAGGGAGTATGTTAAGAGGGACGGCGAGAAGCCTGTCTCGCTCCGCGTTCGTCCACTGCCGCTTACCTCCCTGACAGGTGTAGGTCAGGCGTACAGTTCCCCCCAGCTGTCACTCTAGTTGATGTTGAAAATGGTGATCCTGTCGTCGCGCTTGAGATTGCTGCACACGTTTTGGTTGTAGTGCCTGCGCTTGAGATTGTTGCACTCGTTCTGATTGTAGTGATAATCAGGGTAGTTCATGTTATTTCTGTGGGCTGCACTCCATCCGAGTCCCTGGTGGTTATTGAAGTTGAAGAACCCTTGGATGGGGAAATAGTTGTTGTTGCTGTTGTCGTTGCTGTTGTCGTTGCTGTTGTTGTTGCTGTTGTTGTTGCTGTTGTTGTTGCTGTTGATGATGATGTTGATGATGATGATGATGTTGATTAGACATCTTCAGGCAGACTGGTTGTTGATGCTGTTGATGATGTTGTTGTGGATGATGTTTGTTAATGGTGCTGATGATGTTGTTCGTGACGGTGGTGAGACTACGAATCCATCTGCCTGAAGATGCCTAGTCAACTCCCCACCCCGCATAGTACGTGCTTCAGCCAGAAGCTGAAGACAATCGCTCCATAAAGCGCTTGCTTGGTGCCAGTCGATATACGCATCTATCTCCATAGCAGGCCCCTCCTCGAAAGGCTCAGTGACTTGCATCATGCGCTGCACTATTGCCTCCGCCCATCCGGTCACCGAGGTCCCCCCCTCACCCCCTTGATCAACCTCAAAACCAGGCAGGGGATGGGAGGAGAGCAGGGCCGTCATAGCCCAGAGTTTCTCCAGACCTTCGTTCAGACTAGATAGCTAGATGTCAGCCTCGAGTCGCCGCCCATCCACAGAAGCCATTGTGTGTTGAGAGTCTGTCTCCCATCTCCCGTGGTGTCGTCCTCGCTGACCTCGCCCTCCTTTTCACATTTTCCCAGCTTCCCGAATGCGCTGTGGGAACTTTTCGTGCTCTTCGCAGCACTACACTCGCAAGGACACCGTTCGCTCGTTGACTACAGGGTGCTCCCACCCTGCCCACCCTGCCCATGTCGCTGCCTGTGCTGCCCGCGTCACTCCTCCGCCATGCCTGTTGGCTCAACCTACCTTTCATGCGGCGATGGCATCAACGTCGTCTGTCGTCCTCGTCAGCTTCGAGGCCTTTGGTAGCAAGACCGCGGGTCCCACCGGCCGGTTTGTTCCCCGTGCGCTCGCAACCGTAGGCACTGTTACTGAATGAGGCCGGGGGAATTAGATTAGATGGAAAGCGCAGATACTGGTACCCCCCCCCCCCCCCTCACACACAGGCACCCCCACCCTACTCCCTGACCACGGCCAACATGCATTCCCTTGATTGTGAGAGGTAACTGTGCTTGCAGGGATCACCTGTACAGGCTTACAAGTAGTGATCGGTAGGTAGTGAAAGGTGAGAATGAGAGAAGGATATAGCTTACTTAATAAAATTTTAAAAACAAATTCTGGCACAATCCCACACACACGACCTCCACTGCCCGGCCTGAACCCCGCAACAATTGACACGTCCAGCGGTGGGCAAAATCAAGCATTGGGAAAATGAGGCGAAGAGATACTGGTGGTTTAAATTACCAGTACTTCCAGAAGTCCTAGCCACATGCACTCTGTGATGTGCTGGGATGAACGTGCCTGGGGCGCTGGGATAAATTCATTGAAGTGAAAACATCAGGCCACAGTGACTGTAGCAATGAATGGACGCCTGCGCGAGCAACTTCTGGAAGTACTGGTGGTTTAATTACCACTGCCATTGCAGAAGCTTACACAGCAGAGACCTTTTTTAGTTCCTTTGACTGCAGCGACCTTTTGAAATCCCTTCCCACCCCCACCCCCACCCCCACCCCGAACCCCAACCCCCCTCCCCCTTGGACTGCAACAACGGCATTTCAGACCTCACAAAACAAAGTTGCGGCGTGCATGGGGCCACGACTTTCGGGAAGCACCGGGGCGCCTTTGCGCTGCCAGTG